GTTGCTATAGATGTCATTGCTTTTGCTACATTCTTAGTCCCTACAAGCATATAGACAGAAAAGAATAAAACTAGCTACTTTCCATGCCATGTGTCATAAGAGTGTTTCAGCTTTAACTCTTCAACAATATATGATGTTACAGGCGGTGAATTGTCATGAGCTACCTCTGTAACATTCAATCCTATTTTCAGATTTGATTAAACAATTCATTCACTTCTTTCTGTACCTTTTGATATTACTAATGGCAACACTTCTTTTGCACTGGCAAGCTCCCTTGTCTGAGCGCAGGTGTGTTCTTTTCTAAAAAGTGTCACACAGCCTACAATCTTGTGGATACTGAAAAATTGATGTACAAAGTGAAGTAAAATACACTACAAATACAAGTGTACCTTCCAGAAAGACACGGCACAGATGTATGGTAGGCATTAGCAGTTGAGTCATGCCTAGCATCAGTGATGACCCATTACAATGAATTTAATAATGTACCATTATTAATATACTGTACCTCTCCATCAGTCTCATATTCAGAGGTTGACTTGATTTCATCAATTGCCTTCATCATTGATGCTTCAGCACAACTTTCAATAGCACCGACATACCCCTTTGACTTATATACTATAGTAATTACATTTACAATACTACAGTGAAGTACAAAACTAAATTACAGATCAGTGTACCTCTTCCCAACTATACCAAGCAATGCCAATCTACAGAAATGGTAGTATTGTGATGGGAGCATTCCAGCACATGTAAACACATGTATGAGCCTAAAGTAATATTAATGCCATTACTTTGCATTACACTTTATACTTACTTCTGATTAATTAGGTATCTACTGCCTAATAGACTTCAGCACGAATCACGTGCCCGAACTTTAACAATAATAGCAATAAAAATAAATCATGAAATAATACTCTAAGATACCTGTCTGTAACTGATCATCTTTCGGTTGATCATGCCACACGTACACCGTGTCAGTCCCAAAACCAAATCCTCAAAAGTAGATCCCTGACACACAAACAATGGCTGCTCTTCATCTCCATCACCAGTGTATATCCCTTATTCAATATTATCACTATTTTAAACATAATATAACTACCTGAGGTATTCAGCATAGAAGAACTACTTGTGTCGTGTGACTGATCATCGGAGTCCTCCTTTTCAGCTAGATCGAACAAATGAGACAGCAGTTCCATGTTTTCAACAGGCCATCTCCTCTTAGTAGCTAAAGACCCCTTAACTCGATCAAGCCTAGCTATAAAATGATCCTTGTCTTCCTTTTGACCAAAATTCAGATCCATTTGGAACTGAAAACCCTCTCTTCTAGCGCGTTTCTTCATAGAACCAACACCATCTGGAGCAGACATTTTTTAACATGTGTAAAAATGGAAACCACCATGCCCAGGGCACCGCCTTTTATACCGCACCTTCTCGTTTAAGTTTTGGTCGAAGGAGAAAAGTGCTGAAAAGAGACTGGGGGTCAATAATCCACCATTAGTCAAGATTAATCTCCATTAAGTAAGATATTGGTACCGAGTTATCTAAAATTAAATAATACTTACGTATATATAATTCCCGATGAGTTACACCTATTTCTAAAAGTAAGTGACGTACTCATTCGAAACATTATTTCATCAGCTGTTGGACAAGAATGCCACATTGCAACACCAACAGATAGATACATCACTGCAGCTCCTACTTGAAACAATTAGGAGTTGTGGTATCACCTTTAATGTAGGAATTTAACCATTATAATTAAACTATTGACTGACTACTGTATGTGTAAACAGGTATGGAAACATGATTCTTACGAATCGACGTCACTTAGAGGATTGGACAGAAAATACTCTTTGAAAAATTTCCACCTGATATTCCAGATGTTATAAAAGGAAGTGAAGGAACAACACTACAAAAAATATGGGAGGTAAAACAGCTGATACAAATTTATATAATCTGTAAAAATTTACGTTGCTATAGGAATTTTACTTAATTCATAATTTTATATAATCCACATGTGATCACACTGTCATCCAAGATAAGGTATTTTACTCAAGCATTCTAATTGAAATTTACGTACATGTATAACATTTACAGGCAAAGCAATGGGTGCAAATGTTCCTGTCAATAAAATCCGTAGGTCATCAGCGCAGCAATGTCACACCATATATGTACTTA